CAGACATGCCCAACTTCTACTCCCTGTCTCCTGGAGGAGTGGGGCAGATCACGCCTCCACTGGGATGGTGAGTCATGGACGGACAGGAGCCAAAGCATGCACCGCTGATTGATGTAAACGGGGGGGAAATTACTATCCTGTCTCTTCACATCAGATACATGTACACTGTAGTAGCTTTGTGTGCTGAATGGAGGAATGCTGGCCTACAGAGCAGCCGACACAGGGAGGTCTGCCTCTGGCTGTTCCAGCTGTGGTGCTGCGGCTTCAGCCTCGCCGCTCCTCAGTGCGCCCAGCACATGTCAAACACATCATCGCATACGTGCCCCTGCATAACAATATGGCTGTTCCACCACCATCAAAGCTTTCTTAATGCACTTCTCTCTCTTTGAGCCTCACTTCATATTTGTGAAGTACTTTATTTTTCATCTTTTTTTTTTTTTACCGCTGTCATTTTTTTTGACTGCATCACTGTCACTTGCACTTCCTGTTGCTTTTCTTTCCTCCCAACACAGCTTACTTTTTTCTTCTTCCTCACTGTCGCTTTGCCTGTGATGTTTGTAAGATGGGCTTCAGGCAAACGCTGAGTGAAGACAGATGTAACGTGCAGGATCAGGCGACAGCTGAAGCCCATACAGCCTCCTTCTGCTTTCTTAATCTGAATACCTACTGCATATTAGCCCATTTGATTTGGGAACCTTTGCCAAACTTAGGACTTTTTCCTCAGGAACCTACTCAGTAGGGAAACTCGGTCATAGTTTGTCCTCCGCAAGTTCCTAGAAGTGAGGGAGGGTTAGATTTGCAGTACTGGACAAAACTGATCAGTAATTTTCATGCTTTAAAATGTTTTTATATACCAAACGTTTTTCAAAACCCAGCAACCAGTTGATTGAAAGTTATACATAGCATGATGAAGCGAGCGCTGAAACAAACAGAACAAAATGGGAAACTGGACAAGCTGATGACAAGACACAAACTCTACTAATCATTATTTCTGAGGAGGAATTTAAGTGTTAAAGATGAGATGAGAGGTGTGTTTATATATTTAGAAGTACTTTAGTTTAACATTCCTTTTTTCTTGTCTTGTTTACTTGTCTACTCTTTGCCTTATGGAGGAACGTTGTACATGCACATTGAGAGCCACTGTACCAGAGTCACATTCCTCATGTGTTCAACACACCTGGCCAATAAATCTGATTTTGATTCTGATGATAAATATTTCCTCATGTGTAGCAGATCTACTGTATATAATAAAAAGCAGTTTTCAAAGAAACTCCAACTTGCAAATTTTAAAAAAATACTAAAGACCTCATTAGGTTTCACTGTCACTTCCTGCTGTTTTCCCTGATCCTCATCACCCTTGAGGTGCAGTGAGATGTAAATAGAACATCTCGTGCTCCTGTTTAAATCATTTTTAAAGGCCTGAAACTGTAACTTTACAGTATTTCACAGTAAAGAATCTAGTTTAATTCATCTTGTTGGAGTCCTGCTCTCCAGGTTGGGAATTACTGATACAATCAATGTATGGAAGTTTTAGGATGTTTGTGGTCATTTTAATTCAGTCATAACCAGTGATTTGTTTCATGTCTTTCCAAGTATCAAGACTTTAACATCCAGCATCAAGCATAAAAATATGTGTGGGTGGATTTCTGTCCTTTTTAGGTCTGCTCTTGTAAGTGTGCATTCACCGTCGATTATGTTACATTTAGGGATCCTTTCCATGCTGCTGACCTGTGTCATCGTCACTGGTTAATTAAAGTGCATGCTGTTTGCTGTTATTGCAGGTTCTCACACCACATGGTGCCCGGGCCTCCAGGTCCCCACGCCACAGGGATCCCCCACCCGGCCATCGTCAACCCACAGGTCAAACACGAGCCGCCGCATGAAACGGACATCATGCACATGTGAGTTCTGCAAAAATAAAGACGCCTTCATCAGACCACACTTCGTTACTCTCCTGATAACAGACCTATGCTTCATTTGGCCTCAAGGGTCACAACACACTTAGCCGGCAACAGATAGAGGTCCTAGATTAGTGCTCAGATGAACTACATTCGCATCCCCAGCGCGTGCAGTGGGAAGTGCTGTGAGCACCCTAAAGTGGTTATGACTGATATTTCCATTATTCATGGTCATCCTCATACCAAGAATGTATTATTATCAAACAGTAAGGCAGGAGTGGAAGCAGAGTGTCTGAGTGTGTGACTGTGAACATTTGGTTTTAAGCGATTGGCAATATGCTGCGGAGGTTTGGTTGCCATTACTGGTGAAGTAATCTCTCCGTATGAGGGGCTGCGACTGTACAACTGCAAATGATTAAAGAGGCAGGGGCCCGTGGCGTGGCAACCTCTCTCACGCTTCCTCACCACTGACAGAGAGCAACCAGAGCCTTACTGCTTTTGCAGCACAGCAATTTCCCTAGCTGTTATGTCTCTCATTTTCTAACTAGTTCATTTCTTCCTCTTCTTTGCTTCCATTCATGTTGTCACTGTTGTTTTTTTCCCCCCTTACAGGAAATCCCAGCATGAACCGAGAAAAGAACAGGAGCCCAAAAGGCCGCACATCAAGAAGCCGCTAAACGCCTTCATGCTCTACATGAAAGAGATGCGTGCGAATGTGGTCGCTGAGTGCACGCTGAAGGAGAGCGCTGCCATCAATCAGATTCTGGGAAGAAGGGTAGGCCTTGCCAGCACCTGTGTGTGTGCCCTGACACATGGGCCTCAATCTCACTCAATTTATCTCTGTTGATAAAGCTGAGTTAACCAAGAGATGACAGTTAAAGCCGTGGCTCTAAAGATGCCACATGGACTGACATTCCAGGCCCAGTTAGATTAAAAAGTACAAAGAGTTCTCTCTTGATTAATATACAGTCTTTTATGGACTAGTTGTGATTATAATTACTTCCCTCCCAGCAGCACAGACTGCCAGTCTAACTGACATGTAATCAAATTGGGCTTAATAAAATATGCCTGGATAATGGCACAGTTGGAAATGACAAAATTTGTTCCTTTTGAGAACTGGGAAGAGAGTGGAACCACAGAGCCATGTTAAAGGCCGTAATGAATAGCTCTAGCGGTTGAGGCAGCCAGCCACAGCAAAGCCTAGTTTGCGGCCTGCTCAGGGTAATTTCTCGCTGACATAAAAAGCGCGGCTAAATTGGAACCAGTGTTTCGATATGAACTCAGTCCCCCACCCCCTTCTCTCCGTCTCTGACTTTTGTGCATGTTAATCTCTTCATCATGTTTCCCGCTCCCCATTGTCTCTCCTCATCTTTCGACACCAAATGTTTGGAAGTTTAAAATATTTTTTTTGTTTACCAAAACACCAACAAACTATGCAGGAAAGATGCAAATGCATGCCAGTAATTGACTGTATGCTATTTCCCCCCTAATCTCCTTTCTGCTGAAACAGTGGCATGCTTTATCTCGGGAAGAGCAAGCTAAGTATTATGAATTAGCACGCAAGGAACGGCAGCTCCACATGCAGCTCTACCCAGGCTGGTCTGCTCGAGACAATTATGTAAGTATCAACAGAACAGACTGGCAGAGGTGCGGCGCGTGTGTGTGTGTGTGTGTGTGTGTGTGTGTATGTCATGTTGGTTTATGTTGTTTGTTTATGTCAGTGATGCGGGACTTGTTCTTTAAATGACAGGCTAGAATCACACACACTGATTCACACTAGTCGGCTCCATGCTAACAGGGCCCATTTGTGGGCCCTTTGTTTCAGCCTAATGTGTAATTCATAGCAACACTGATTCAGTGTTGTGTTACCATCCATGCTAAAATGGATTGTAGTAGCATGGACATTATTATTGCCACAGCGAGTGAAAATTGCCTGGTAATGGTTATGCTAGGCTTTGATGTTCCATATCAGCGTGGAGCTTTGGATGTAAAAAGCAACTGTTCCTGAGGTGACTGGATTGTACATGCAGCATTCAGCGGCTGCAACCTTTACTCCTCTAGCTGCCAATTTTGTTTGTGAATGTGAAAGGTCCCTCTGGATTTGAGATGCCGTGTCTTTTGTGATGTATATCGCAGTGTGTGTGCATATGTGTCGGTGTATGTGATCGCAAGTTGTTTATGATTATGTGGTGTGTATGGATTTGTGACAGAGAGCACCAGCCTTTTATTAAAAGTGTGGCTCCGGCACTCACATTCACTCCACCACCGAAGTGCTTTTGTGGTGTTTATCTGCCTCCCCTCGGACACCGACAGCATCCCTCCTCCTTCTGCCTCCGTTGCTCCGCTGCCAAAATGCCTTGCTGAGGGGGAGACGGTCTCACGGCTCTGCTCCAAGTGAAGCAAAGCGCAGTTAAAGATGCACAATATCAGCTAGTGACAGCTAGGCCCAGTTTCCAGCTTTGTTAGTACAAACATATGACAGGTTGGAAACAAAGTAGATGAAATGCTTTCTACTTTATAAAGCAAGACAATATATTTAATGCAAAACCGTTTTAGAAACGATTTGCTCCCCTGTGAGCGCTCCCTTGTTTTTTTTTTTTTGTTTTTTTTGACCCCTCCCACCATGAAAATCTACAGCTGTATACAGACAGCACATCATACCTAGAAACGCCCAAAATAGTTAACATGCTGGCATGGAGCACGTGTAGCGTTCATAGTTTTGCTGTGTAGCCCTTCTCTCCTCCTCTCTCTCACCCACTTTCATTTCTTCTTCTCTGTCTGCTGCGGCAGTAGAAGACAGATTAGCTCATGAATAAGTGGATTAACAGACTTTGCAGCAGGAAACCAAAGTGCTGCTCATATTTGACTAGAATGACTCTTCACTGCTATCTGTACCTATCGTCTCCCCCCCTGGGGATTTAGCATGAGCTCTAAATCCTCACACACTTCCGCTACCTCGCTGGAAAAAGAGTGGCGCTCTTCACAGTCATTGAGATAGACTAGCCTAATTACAGTGGGCATCTCTAATTGCACTTTATGTTAATGTTTGTCATTAGAGGGACTTCAGAGGTAGCGGGAAAGTGACATAGACCAGTCACAACAACGGGACAAGCCGTCTCTATTTCACTGGGATGGTCACAACTCAAAAAAGGCCTAAAAATGAGAGGAAGTATGCAACTTAAACCCATCTGAGAGTAGGTAGAGCAGCTTGGATCACGTCAGACTCTTGGCTGAACTGTCCCTCTCAGCGTGGCAGTTTGCAGTGGAGTCCGGAGCCCGAGGGATGCTGGTTAGATGCCCAGCAGGGGATGAGTGAACATGGCAGTCAGCAGCAGGATACCAGAGTGGTCTAGTGAGCGTGAGTGCTGGAGCCACACTTTATGCGTTCCTCTGTATATTTTTA